GGCTAAACAGGGGGCTGTAAGGGAGTTTCTGTTTGTGGCTGAGTTGTAATACTTAATTTTTCAGTTCAACTTTCAGTTTTTGGGCTCAAGGGTGTRGCTGCATCTTGTGCCCCTCAAGGGGAGTTATCTCCCCTACTTTTAAATGATTTTTTTTGGAGAACTAATGAAGATGAAGGTTAGTTGTGTGGTTCAAGGAGCCTTGAAAAATTTTCCCAAAATTATTGGGTGAGATCAGCAGTAGCACTCATGTTTTTCTAGTATTCTTGGATCATCGTATAGTGGGCAGTTTGATTTATTGGAAGTTCTAGGGCCTCTGGAGTGAGCACCCCTTTCTTCTGTAGTTTCTACAATTGCTGGTGAGGGTGATCTCCAATATCCTTTGCATAAGGTAATCTCCAGTATTTGGAAGTAGGGAGAATGGGGGCTTGGGGAATGGAAATGTGACCAAAAGAAATATAGCATTACTGATAAGAAAAAGAAATATTGCATTACTAGGGTAATGGCTATGGAGACTACTTCTTGAGCAGGATAGGTTGTCACACAAAGTTATTGTAGGCATTCGTGGTACTAACGTATGAAAGCTAATGACCAAGATGCTAATGTGGATGCTAGGGCTTCTCTGTCCTCTCCTTGGAAAGCCTCCACGATAATTTTTAGCTTTTCATTTCTCACATCAGGTATGCTTGTGTTGGTAACAGAGTGTTATTTTGGGAAGATATCTGGGTTGGGGAGGTTTCTCTTAAAGAGTGGTCTCAAACCTATATTCTTTGTCATCTTATAAGATGAAAACAATCTCCATCTTGTACAATAATGGGCAAAATTGGGACCTATGGCTTTGGGAGGGGGAGGTGGCAGCAGTTGCTGATCTATTATTTTTCTTAGATGGTGTCTTCTTGGACACTTCTTGTTCAGATAGCAAGGTTTGGTCTGTTTTCCCCTTGGGGCTGTTTTCCTGTGCTTCTTTCAATAATGTCCTCTTACAATTGTCTAGCTTGGTAGTGCCATTTCCAACAAAAGAAGCGTGGAGTAGATCTGTGTCTCTTAAAGTAAGACATTTGTGATATGTTTCAAAGGAGAAGGCTAGGTTTGTGCTTGTCCCCTACAGCTTCTAATCACCTATTTAATTGTATATTGTATTTGGGAATGGTTTTCTTCTCTTTTCGGTTGAAGGTGACACTTCCTTTTGGTGTGGCAAGCCTGTTTAATGCTAAGACAGCCAAGGAAGAAAGGTAGGGTCTTATGGAGAACTACAAGAGACTGCTATAGTATGAACTATGTAGGTGTTCAAGACTGCTATCAGTCTTGACCACTAAGAAATTTCAGGTTCGATGAGAAGAGAAAGTGAAGAAGAAGTAGAAGAAAGAGTGGTGAAAGAGCAGTAGAACACAGATTTTGAGGAGAAGAACAAAATGTCAATATTMTGCCGCCGCCACTTTAATTTAATATATATATGTTATGCTAGTTACATGAAAGGACATATCTGCGCTTGATGTTTACATCATAACTGCTAACACATAACAAACAATATAAAACTGAAACTAGTAATAACAGAATAACAAATTGACCACAGCTGTGACTAGATACATTCTACCCTACGGACAGAGTGGGACCACAGCTGTGGGGCCCACATCAATGTTCTTTACAAACTATATGGGATAATGGGAAGAAAATGAGTAAGAGGCTGTTTCAAATAGATGACATTTAAGGAATACTCAACAGATGACATCATTAGGGCTCCACCAACTCTTCTTAGTATCAAGCTGACCTTTGATGGAAGATCAAGTGGAAATCCAAGACATTCTGGAATTGGGGGGGGGGGTGCTTTTAGAGATTGTGATGGACAAATGGGCAAATATTGGCCTTATACTTGGGGCCGTTGGATAACAGCTGAAGATGCTGAATTGAAAAGTTTATTGCTTTGTCTTTTAGTGAATAAGTTTTTAATTGTGGGCACCTTAATTGCTGAAACTGAAGTTGGGTAGATCACTATACTTCTTGAAAGTTTTACTATTTAATTATTCTAACAACTAAGACTAAGAGACAAAGAAATAGGTCTTTTAGTTCAGCAACTTCTGCTGTTATCAAACAGCCCCTTAGCCAGTCCTCTTTCATGGTTTTAGGCTAGCAGATAGTTTTATCCCGCGCGAGGGAGGTTGGGGTCAGGTTTAGATGGGTTGGAATTTAAGCAAATGGTTTGGTAGACACTTTGGCCAAGCAAGGAGTAAACAGGGAGAATTGTTTTGGTTGGCATTGTGATAGTAGTTTCACCCTTTGGGGTCATTTCCCCTCAGCTTGGGATGTTTGGCATATTGTAATAACTTTACCGTTTCTAATAATTTTTATTCTCTTTTGAATTTAGTCTTGGAGATACTTTCCAATTTTCTTGAACCTGTTCTGTAATTCTATGCAATCACATCTTAGTAGAAATTTCTTACGGATGAGGAAAACAAAAGGAGATCTAGGGAGATATATTCATAAATATTAAATGTAGTTTGTGCTTACCTTTTCTGGTCTGAGGTTTCTCATATAAGGGGAGAAGCCATTGTCATTATACTTCTTGACATTGAAGTCGAGAAAAAAGGTGCTTGCCTTTTTCATTTTAATAAAATTTCTTTTTTTTTACTCTAAGTCCTAATGCTAAGAAATTGATCATCTTAAAAGACTGTATGAAGCCAAGGACCCTGCTACTTGTAGAAAGTTGGTGGAGAGATATCAAGCATTTGAATTTTTGGCAGTGCTAGCTAAATTTAGATTTTTGATTTTACATGCCTGTATATCCTTGTGAAGTTGTGATTTTTTCCCAGACTTACTCATTGCCCACCTAACTTACATGTATGAAGCTGCATCCATACCTTTTCCCTCCTTGATTTAGGATAAAGCAATAGAAAAGAAGTTTTAATGTGGTGTCTACTTCAATAGATGGATAGAGTTCTACCATTCCACTTGCACCAGCCTTGCGACCATTAATGGGGTAGTTATAGCTGCTAGGGCTAAGTTAGATTGCTACACGAGTACTTTCTTAGTTGGACATTGAGAGAGTTGTCAGTTGGTTAAACATTTTTAAAACTCTTATTATCCAAGTTATGAAAGTAAGTATTCTTCCTTTCGATATTTGTGCATAGTGTTGTGTAGGGACCATATATGTGGTATATATGGGTGGATATTGCTATACCCCTACTGTTTAGCTAATTGACAAGCTGTACCCTTACTGTTTAACTATTGTCTTATACCACCCCTACTGTTTCTGACATTTGACTAGCTCTACCCTTGCCGTTTAGTGTCTATTAATGTTATGTCAAAATCCGTATACGCGTGACACCATGTGTCCTATAAATTTTTTTAAAACCCAATATTACCCTTTGTCAAAATCCGTATACACGTGACACAATGTGTCATAATTTTTTTTAAAACTCAATATTACCCTTTGTCCCTCTCTATAAATTGGGTAAGAATCGTTGCCCGTGAGCAGGACTGGATCATCGTTAGCATGGTCTGGCTCTTCTGATCATCCATTGTTAGCTTGGCCTATCCTGTTTTCTAAAGCAGAAATTCAAGATTCTCCTTCTCCCTTTGTTGCTTCTTCATGCTATGAGACTTACATGGTGGGTTTTGTGATCACCAACATTGTCAGACTTCAGTACTACACTGGTAGGATCAGCGAATGGGAGATGGTAGGGCTGGTTCGAGAACCCCTCAGCCCTTATGACTCCCAACGCTATTAAGGTGATCAATACCTGTTCTTTCTCCTCTCCTTGATGCCTAACTCATTGCCGTTGAGGGCACCATACCCAACATTCCCGGGAACAAAAACCGGTACAAGCTCCCTTGCCAAATCCACATCTTTGCTCGCATTGAAAACTTTCAACTTGTTCGGGACAACATTCGTGTGGTGGGTTGCAGCTAGTTTCTGATCTAAATCCTTCTTTTGCTCTGTTGGGGGATGGCTGTAAGCGTTAAAGAAAAGAAAACTAAGAAAGAATTCTCTCGAGTTGCCTCCGTTTTGGGAGGAGAAAGGTGGATACTATGCCGGTGTCTTGACAAATTATCGGATTGGTAAGCGACTGGAGCCACTGAATGGGGGCATTTCACCGTTGCCGACTGTGCCAGAGATGAGGTAGGCGAGGCGAGGTGGGGGGGCCTTTCAAGATCTTCCTCATTTTGTCATCAGAGGCGCATCCCTGTGACGGTAACTAGTCGACTGTGCCAGAGATGTGGTAGGCGAGGCGAGGGCCTTTCCATATCTTCATTTCGTCATCGGAGATGTGTCCCTGTGACGGTAACCAGAAATGGCCACCACTGAGACCCATCGTATGTGGCAAAAAAGAATTTCTAAAGTTGTTCCTCACGGGAGAAATGACTGATCTCCAATCTTTGTCCATTGTGCAAAAAAGAAATTCTGATCTCTAGGTTCGTTCTTTTTGACACAGAACAGATTTACAAGCAAAATTTTCTAATTTAGGTAAAAGATCAAATAATTTTGATATTTTAGCCTGGTGGAGTGAACATTCGAAAAATTATCCAGTTCTCGCCGCCATGGCACGTGATCTACTAACCCCTCCGGTGTTTACAGTTCCATCGGAGTCATGTTTTAGTGTAGGTACCAGCGTGCTCGATGACAAAAGAAGCTGCATTAACGATGAAAGCACAGAGATGTGCATCTGCTTCAAGGATTGTCTAGATGCAAAAGATAGATTACAAGACAAAGGAGGGCATGATCTACACCGGATATTTCACCCGAAGCAAATGATGAAAGTCATGAATGATGATTCATGAATTTGACTACTTGTATAGAATTTCTTATTTTTTCAAATTATTGTAAATTTTTAAAATTTTATTTAATTTATTTGATATATTTTTTTAATTTTTTAACAATGTAATTTTGTATTTTCAATTTGTAACCATATTGTATTTTTTATATTTTATTAATTTATTCCATTTTCATATTTCATTCATCCAAGTATCCAATGATCCAATCATTGTATTTGTAATTTGTACTATTCAAATTTAAATGAAATAAAATTCCAATTTTTCTTCTAATTTGTTATTCCATCATTCTTATTTCAATTTGGTTAAGTATTATTTTTTTTTCATTTATGTGTTAGATAACTTAGATTTCTCATTTCTTAATTTTTTAAATAGTTYCCRATTCYCAAAGTTYAAAGGAAAGTTAAATATTTTAGTTTTACAATTTTACTTAGAAAAGTAATCAAAATTTTCAAAAAAAAACAAAAAAATAAAAAAATAGTGCAGTCCGGTTCGCCTCAGGCCCGTACCACGGCATGGCACGGGCCCGCCTGGGCCGTGGGCTGTGCTGGGCCGATCCCCAAAATTTCTACCGGGGACTCGGGGAGGGCGGCACGGCCCGCGAGCCAGCATGGCACGACCCGCCTTTTGAGCGGGCTGCCCATGGGCTGTGCCGTGCCGGCTTGGCAGGGCCCACTTTACATCTCTATGCTGGTTTGTATGAATTAAATTTAAAATTTTAATTTAACTTTATGCTCATAGTTATGAAAAAACATCTTTAAAAAGTTATTGTGTATACATTATTATATAATACCATATATATTTTGTAAAATATCGTAAATACCATATATGCATGTATACATGCCTGTATGCCACTATACCATATACACATACATACCTTATATACATATATGCTATCTATACATGCCGTACATACTACATTTATATAGATACATATTTGGTAAAATATTATACCATGTAAGATATTACATTATTACTAGAAAATGTAAGATATTATGCCTATGTCTGAGATATAATACTATATACTATATACAATAATTTCTGGGCTGAGCTGGGCCTAAGGCATGCTTGGCCTGGGCCTGACCCACATTATGTGCAGGCTTGATATGGGTCCAGGCTGGGCTGGGCTTGATAGAAATGTGGCTGCCTAAGCCTGAAAATTTGCGGGCCAGGCTGGGCTGGATCATATATTATCATCCTTAATCCTAACTATATGGGGTTGGCTTAATTAGTACTATTTTACCATTCAGTTTTGTAATTTGTTTATTTGCATATCCATTATTAAATTATGAGCACTTTCATTTCTTGCTTCTTTAACCCATGCCCTTTTTAGTCTGCTTTGAGCCCTTCTATCCCCTTGAACTTGTAATTGATCGCCTTTTCTTACGGGTGCTGTAGGTGGTCCTCTGTGCACGTGATTGAACCATTTAAGTTACTTTCTCTCATCTTATCACCTATTGGAGCTACTCCTAGGTTTCTTTAAATGACTTATTTTCTAACCCTATCCTTTGACTGCCCAATACTTTTCTCCGATCAACATTACTAGCCTTACAAATTGTTTTATAGAATTTTCCTTTTAATTTTAGTAATCTTCTCTAGCATAAGACTTTGGATACACCCTCCATTTTGCCCATCATGCTCTAATTCTATGGGTGACCTCTTGTATTTATCTCTCCATTGTTATGATGAACCAAGGTACTAGAAAATGTCACATTGAGTTATCGCTTGGTTTCCAGTGCTGGGTATTGTGATTGAATCAGTTCTATTTCAGTAGGTCAAGTTAACTTGTTATCTGGTTGGATTTTTTAGTCCATTTCACCCTTGACTGCTTGGTTGCAAAAAATGTTGACTTTGTCAATTAGTAGGCTTTATAAGACTAAAGGTTGCAAGTTGGGTAAAAACCCTGGAAGTGTTCAAATAAGTCCATGCGAATGACATCCTGAGAGCTTGGTGAATGGTTGCTATCTATTCAATGGTGAAGGACAAGACTATGATGGAATGGAAACCACCCTCAAGTCCAAGATTGAAGTTGAATTTTGATGGCAGTTCCTTTGGCAACCTCAACAAGCAGGAATTGGAGGAATAATTAGAGATTTATTGGGCAATATCAAAGTATTGTTTTTGGGTCCAATTGGAGTAAATGATATTGTCAGAGCTGAAGTTACGACACTTTTGCAAGATTGTCATTTCTTGGTTGAATAGTAGTATTCCGTGAGCTTGGGTTTATAGATAGACATTAAGGCAGAGGTTTAAAATGTCGGTGTCGGTGGAAATGTCGGTTGTCCAAATATAAGAAACATGTTGAAAAGTAGTATTCCATGAGCTTGGGTTTATAGATAGATATTAAGGCAGAGGTTTAAAATGTCGGTGTCGGTGGAAATGTCGGTTGTCCAAATATAAGAAACATGTTGGAAATATTGTAAAGATTATAGATATGGTGAAAACATTGTGTTTGAAATGAATATTGAGCTAGCTCAAAGTGGTAATCTTTTAAGTTGGGTGGGATACCAAGGAGGTGAGGTCTTCTTCTGGAGTTAGTGTATGGAAAGGGATAATGAGCTTTCAGTCAGCCTTCCTTAGCCTTGTATTTTATAGGGTGGGGAATGGTTCAACAATATAGTTTTGGGAAGATTGGGTGGGAATTGGAAAGTTGTGTGATTTGTGCATGCACTTCTATAGGTTAAGCAAGAAGAATACCTCTATTATGGGCCGATCCTCAAAGACCCCAACCCTTTTTGCTCTTGGACTGCCAGGTGTCCTTCTATTTCAGCCCTGCCCCCTTCGACATTAAAGGCTGAATCACACGGGCCTCCCTTCTTTACTTCTCTCAACCTCAAGAAGACCCCATCACTCAAGAACTCTTTTGAAAACTCCCCTGATTCGCCTCTCTTCACCTTTCCATGATCTCGAAAGTCGATCAGCCCCAACTCATTGACCCCACTTTCATCATTAGCTTGTTTTATTCCAGAAATTCCCTCTCCATCAACCTTTGGTTTGCCCTCAGCTTGGAGCCCATTCGACTTCTGAAACCTTGAACCAGTCGAATCAATCGAAAGAAGAGGAGCGCTCCACTCTTCCCTCCACGGATCCAGGCTGGCTAACCCACTCCCAAGGAAGGACCTTTCCACCACCACTCTAAGAATCATATGTTTAAATGTCTAATGGCTTACTTAAAAGTAGATTTTTGATGAACTTCATGGTTATAATTTATGAATATCTAATTCTCTATGGTTTCCTATTATAATTTTGTTGATAAAATCATTGTAAACGAAAAAAATGGGATTGAAGGGTTCGAAAGCTACAATATGAGCATATCTATCTAGTTCATTAATCAAAGGGGGAAAGGCACATGCACCTAAACAATATTTGCTTGAAATAGGTACTTGTTGTGTTTTGTTTTGTTTCAGCATACTCATCTGGGCTGTTATTCTACTTTGATCTGAATTTCCTGAGTTTAGAAACATACAAAGGTGGAGGACAACAACTTAAAAAAGGTTCGCGAGGATCTTCAAAATAGAGTTGATATTCTTCAGAAACAAGGCAATGTGAGTTTGAAGATTATGAAAGTTTGTTCTAAGTTGGTCATTTTTTTTAGTACTACTTATATTTTTCTGTTTCAGAGTTATGATGATCGGGGGCCTGTTATAGATGCTGTTGTGTGGCATGATGGTAATGTGTGGAGGGTTGCTCTTGACACACAGAGCCTTGTGGATGACTCAGAACACGGGAAACTGGCTGATTTCGTTCCCCTAACAAACTATAGGTGCGCATATCCTGTTTCTTCTATAATATAATAGGGAAATCCAAACACAGGCTGAGGTGAGCTGATGTGGAATATGCTCAAAAAAGAACCATGAAGTAGTAAGCAAGTTTTATACCACTAACTATTAAGGCTTCAATACCTATGAGCATGGGGGGGGGACCACTAGATGTTGCTGTTCTTATAGTTCTATAGATAGCATGGGAAACTGGTTTTTGTTTAATTTTGCTGCTTTCTCATATTTCCAGGAACTGGATTGTGAAATAAGATGATCTTCTTAAAGAGAGAAATCTTTGTACCTTCTAGGATTGGAGAAAACTCAAACTGAACTTGATTAACAATAAGCCTATTAATATGTCAAATAACAACAAAAGTCTGAAATAAGATAATCTCATGTTCTTAAGTACTCAACAATCAACATTAAGTTCAAGACTTCAAGCTGGCTGCGAGCCATTAATGCAATACAATAACATAGAGGCAGACAATTTTCTTTCCAAAAAAAAGAGACAGACAATTTTCTTTGAAAAAAACAGTCATGAACAATTTTCTTACAAAAAGAAGAGTCATAGACAACTTTTTACCCAAAAATGAGTCATAGACATAGACTATTTTCTATAAGAAAAAGAGTCTAAGGTTTCAGCCATTCTTCAAGACTCAATCAACATTTTCTTCATCTTCACTTGGAAGTTCAATGTCATCTTCATTGTCATCTGACTTGTAGTTATCAAAATCCTCTTCCATTTCTTCTTCCAACTTGAACATCAACATCAACTTCCTCCTCTTCTTCATCTTCCAATTGAAGCTGTCTTGGTCTTTTTCCACCGCAATCTTTTGTAGATTGGGGTAGAAGCACCAAATATGGTCCACCAATCAGCTAAAGAGTATAAATAATAACTAAATTAGTGATTAGGCTAAATAAAAATATTAAGAATGTAAAATATTTTATTAAATCAATGTTATCATTTACTTGGTGCTTTAATTTTCCTCTAGGAAGTGGCCATATCAAAACCAAAAATGCCTTCTGCATTCTTGTATTTGGATAATTCATCAGTGATTGCACTTCTCTTGTTCTTCTCCTTTTCAAGTATCTCAATTACTTTAAAAAGCCCGATCATAACCTCTTCATCAGACTCAATTCTCTCTTGATCATCATAATAAAATTGTGGGTTTAAAAGGTAACCAGCTGCATACAATGGTTGGTGGAATTAGCATTCCCACCTCTTATCAATAATTTAAAAAATGTCTTCATATTTTTCCATCCTTCCACCAAATGCTTTGTCAATGGCCTCTTTTGCCTTGTCCAAGCCTCATAAATATAACACATAGAAGGCTTGTTTTCACGATCCACCATCCTTAATACATGAACAAGATGGCCACACACTTTAAGAGTAAAGATGACATTTTTCCAAAATGTAGGCATCATGACTATCTCTCCAACTCTTTTCCCTTTTGCTTCTTTTATCCATTTGCTATCATTCCATTCTTTTGAGTTAAACAAATCTCTCTAATTCTTCTTTTGTTTGTATATACTCTACAATGTGAGAAAGGAAATAGCAAAATGGGTTTTTGCTGGCCTAATCAATTCCTTTTGATTTGAAACTTCCTCATTAGGTTCAATAAATTTGGATGGTTATAGATATACCCCGTAAGGGCAATTGCCTTCTCAATTGTTCTCTTCATAGTAGGCAACTTCCTAATGGCTTCCAATATCAAGTCCAAAGAATGGGCATCACACAATGTCCATGTCAAATGAGGATGCTTTGCTGTCATTAACTTCCGTAATAATACAAGAAAACAATTCAAGAAATAAGAACTTAATAACTATGACTCTAACATGTGAAAATGCTAGATGAAAGCTAAATTGAAATAATAATGAAGTATAAAACTCACCAGTTAAGACATAATTTTGTGCATTGTCAGTAATAACTTGGAGAACATTTTTCTCACCAATTCTCTCCACCATCTTGTCAAGCAAGGTAAATAACCTCTTAGCTGTTTTTACATCACATGAAGCATCGATGCTCTCTATAAACATTGCCCCAGGACTGGCTATGGACCAAAAAATTTATGAGGGCTCTATCCTTTCTATCCCTCCACCCATCAGACATAAGAGAGCAGCCCCACTTTTCTCAAGTCTCCTTATGGTGTTGAAGCAATGTTTTTGTATAATCAACCTCTTTCTTTAAGGAAGGAATTCACAACTCATAGTAACTTGGGATTTTTGATCCTGGACCAAATTGCCCTATTGCCTCTGCCATTGCTTTAAAACTTTTCAAGCGTATGGTATTCAAGGGAATACTAGCTTGATAAAACCATCTAGCAATGCATATGCATACTTGCTCTCTCCCTTTATTATATGCATCATTAATAATGGTTTGCCTTTTTATGGGGGGCTGTTTAGAATTTCTTCTTGAACATGAAGCAGAATTTACATTCCCACCAACACTAGGAATGTGATTACCCTCCATCTCTCATCTTCATCTTCAATTATATATTCAAAATCTGGAATTCTGCGTTCTTGACCTCCAATCATGTGCTCTTTCATTGATTTTTTTCTGTGCATGTATGCTAATATCTTTTCTTTTACCTCTTTGGGGCATTTAGTACAAACTTTTACATTTCTTCTTCCAGCAATTAAATGATCTTTTGCTCTATAGATCCCTCCATTTGTCACTTTGCCACAAAATTTGCAAGTGCCAGTATTTGTATTCTTTGGATCTTGCAAATAGCAATATTTCCAGCCCGGGTCTTTCCTATTGCTTTCTTGAGTATTGTCTGATTTGTCTCTCATTCTCTTTACTCTACTTGGTTGGCAAGAGCCAATAAGTCTAATGTAATTAATGTCTTTAAAGTTTGAAGGTCAAGGTCTATAAGAAAATAAAAAATAAATTAGTTATCAATCTAAAATTCTAAATAAAAATATAAAAAATAAAAAATAAAAAATAAAAAAATGCAATTGTTATTGGTTGCAACTTGAAAATTGCAATTTGCAACTATCAATACTCAAATTTAAATAGGTTTAGACCTCAGGCTTCGAAAATAAATAAACTATACTACCTTACAAATAATTTATAAATTCTACTGTTTACAAATAATTTACAAATTCAAGTACCTGAATGTGAATCCACAAGGAAGAATAATGGGTGAAGCCCCAACTTTTGCATAAAAAGTAGATACAAAGCATACACATCCCCTGTTTTAGAGGTAGAAAGTGTGAAAATATAAAATATACAAAATAATAGATGTAAAAATCAAATGAAAACAGATACAGCCCCTGTTTAATGTAAAAAACAGTGTAAGTAATGGGTCGGATCCCCTGTTTTTTGTGCAAGAAAGAAGGATGGGGCAGAGCCCCTATTTTAAACTTTTAATGTAAAAAATCAATGAAAATAATGGGGTGGGTCCCCTGTTTTTTGTGTAAAAAGCTGTGAAAAATAGAGAAAGGGGAGGAGCCCCTGTTTTAAACTTTGAATGAGAAAAAACCAGAAAAAAATGGGCCAGAGCCCCCTGATTTAATGAGAAAAAAATTGAAAAAAAAGGGGCGGAGCTCCTGTTTTTGTGTCAAAAACATTGCTGAATCTGTATGCAAGCTTTCTCAGCCGCAGGAAGAAAAAAAGAAAAAAAGAAAGGAAGAAAAAAAATATGTGTGCCTCTGTAATTCTGTTCGATTCAGCCTTGGACGAACTGGAGTTTGGAATTGGATGAAACAGGCTTGCATTGGACGAACAAATTCTTCTTCCCTCTCAGTTTCTTTTTTTCTTTTGTTTTTTTGGCAAAGACCCCTCTGTCGATTCGGTTTCCTTTTTGCTTATGTTTTCTAGTTTGAGTTATTTTTATATTTTAATGTTATTTTCAAAGGTATTTAAAAACCTCATCCAGGCGCACGCCTGGGCCGCTTGTTGCCTGGCCTGAGGTGCACACTTAGGTGCAGAGGCGAGTGCCTATCTAATGCCTATGCACCTTAGCCTGGGTGAGGCGCCTAGCCTGGAAACCGCCTCGTCTCTGCGCCTAGGTGCGCCTTTTAAAACACTGGTCTTGCTGTGTCTCGTATGTAACTCTGTGTACCTGCTATTGGTCCCTATAAGATCTTTACAAGCACATGCACGTTTTCGTAGTAGGTGGACATGTAAGTTTACAGTTTAACAGTTAAGGTTAAAAGAGAGAATTTCCGTTGCCATTCATTCACTCAAAACCTTTCTGGGATACTAGTGAACTGTGTTTTACAGAGCAATTCAAAAAAGCAGCTTTTATGCTAACGCTTGGCATGAGAGGGAGCTATTCTCATTATTTTTATATGCATATTTTGGAGAGAACTGTTGTCATCTTATTCTTCTTTTTTCTTTTGCATGAGCTGTGGAACTGTAACCGGGGAAGAGAAATTTACTATGTTTAGCAAATTGAACTTTAACCCTTCAGAAGTAATAATGCAGGACTGAAAGGAAGTATGGCATATTCAGCAAGCTAGATGCTTGCACCTTTGTCACCAATGTATATGATGAAGGGAACATTTTAAGCATTGTAACAGATTCCTCTCCCCATGGAACTCATGTTGCTGGTATTGCTACAGCTTTCCATCCAAAGGTATTGCTAATTTGCCTTCTAGCTGCATGTTCTTTTATTTGTTTGATTGACCCATTAAAGTGGTTCTGTTTTTGGGCTATTGTATTGCAATTAGGAACCTTTGCTAAATGGAGTAGCACCTGGAGCACAAATAGTATCATGTAAAATTGGAGATTCACGCTTAGGTTCAATGGAAACTGGAACTGGTCTAACACGGGCACTTATAGCTGCGGTAGAGGTATTTCTGATTTCCATTTGATCCAAACAAATTCTGCTGGTTATTCATTTATAAATTACTGAGATACAATAAATCTACCATTTTATTTTCCTTGTTAGCTGTTTTATGTATCTTGGTCTATTTTATTTTCCTTGTATCTCAGTCTACTGATATTAACCAAAAATGCATGGTAGATGTTAGGGTTACACCTTTAAATTTTACCTATGCGGAAAATTCAAAGTATGTTTAGACAAGAAGTCTCCATTGAGGAAAATCTAAATATAAAATGCCAGTATAACCCCATGCTTCCACTATATGTTTTGAAACAAAAACCTAGACTAACTGCATGTTGGAAGGATCAAAATTCTAAAGAACGATTAAGGGAGTTGCCTTTACTAGGGCAGGAACCTAAAGAAGAAAATATTGATCTTATGATTTCCATAAACTTCATTGGCTAAAGTATCTATTCAAATGAAGGTTTTTACTATTTGCGTAGAAGTAGAAATGGAATAATTACCAAAGGGACTTTTAGATGTACTTCCACCAATACCAAACAACCAATGCCTCTGGTTCGATAATCCCCTCCTAGTAAGGTTCCCAAGTTGCATCCTCAATTGGGAGACCTGACCATACCACCAATGCCTCTGGTTCGATGTGATTCCCTTTGCGTGAAATTTGTCCCTTAGGTTGTTGGAAGATCACTGAGAACTTCTGAAGTAGCTGCTGTAGTTGTGTGCAGCCTTCTTCGGATCTGCTTCCTTGGGCTAGAATGGTGCCGTTCTCGTGGGAGTCTATCTGCATTAATATGATGTGGGCTGGGTTTGCTACCTGTTTCCTTAGGGAGGCGAGACTAATGGGTCTTGGACCCTTGGACAGCTGCCCTTGAATATGCACCTGTGAGCTGCCCACTTGAAAATCCATGGTGAGGCGGGCCAAATTACATATCACCGGCCCTAGTTGCCTTAACCATTGGACTCCGAGAACTACATTTGCTCCATTGATTTCCAGGGAGTGTAGATATACCTCCAACTCATGTCCTTGTATCTTCATCTTTAATTCTGTGCACGTACTGTCGCACACCAGGTTGCTCCCATTAGCTACGTGCACCCGGAAGGCTGTACATGGTTGGAYCGGAATCCCTAGTTGTCTGACCAATGTTTGGGTAATGAAATTGAGAGTGCTGCCACTGTCTATCAGAATTGATAATGGCGCCCTTATACCAGTCCGGTTACTCTCATAGTTTGAAAAGCAAGACCGGTCAAGGCTTGCAGGGATACTTCCGGTTATTCCTTTGTCCATTGCCCCCATTCTTGGTTGTCCATTGGCTCTTCAATGTCTGTTGATTGCTCGACATAATCGGTTTTAGGTTGAAGGAAGAAAACTTGAGGGATGTTACAGCGATGGCCCGACCCGAATTTGTCTCCACATGCATAACAAAGGCCCTTTTCCCGTCAGGCTTGCATCTCAACCCAGGTTAACCTCTTGGCTGAGTCGGGGCCTAAACCAGAGTTGGCGTCCTTGCTTGTGATTCCTACTCCTGATCTGGGCTCCGGTTTACCCAAGATACCTGGTTCTGGGTTCGGTATACCTGGTATGATCGCAGCTCCCAGTGGTTGATTAATCCTTCTTGCCCGATTCAGTTTGTCTTCATGTAGTCGAGCTAATGCTGCTGCTTCAAGAACGATGGTGGGTTGCATGGCTTTTACCTCCAGCCGCAATTCTTCCCTGAGTCCACCAAGAAAACTGCCGACAAGCGCGTTTTCTAGCCAGCCTTGCACGCGCACATCTAATCTTTCAAACGCCATCTGATAATCTTGGACGGAGCCGGTCTGTCGTAGCTTAGCGAGGCTTTCATCATAGTTCTCTAAGGCCGAGACTCCAAATCGCATGGTTAAGGCGTCGGTGAAGTCTGCCCATGTGGTTCTTGGGTGCCGTCGCCGGTACCACTAGTACTAGACGATCGCCTCTCCTTCCAGGTGTGTAGAAGCTAATGGGACACGATCAAGTCCCTGTGTGTCGTGGTAATCGAAGTGTCTTTCTGTTCACAGAAGCCAGGATGTGGGATCTCCCCCTGCGAAGATGGGAAACTCGATTCTTGCTGTTCTTGATCCGCTTCGATGACTGGTGTCACTGCGCTCTTCCTGATTCGGCGCAGGTGGTGCCTGTGCCGGTCGTTCAAGCAAGGATGCGAAGCTTTCTTTGATTTCTTTGACGTCAGCCGATATTCTTTGCATTTCTCCCATGTTGTTGACTCTGTTCTCCATTGCGGATGACCTTGTGCTTGGCATCTTGGCTCTGATACCAACTTGTTAGGTACTGCCTAACTCAGGGACTCTCAAAAGAGTCCTTGAGAGAGATTGTATTCCCAAATCGATAATCCCCTCCTAGGTTCCTTTCCTTATTTATTGTAAAACAAGAGTAAACAGAGGAAGAAGAAGAATTTGTTATATTATTCATCAATCTCGTATGTATATATACAAGTTACAAATTCTATGTTAGGAAAGAA